TCTGTTTTTCTTCTCCCCCCTATAAAACCCAGCAATGACTGTATATAAACAAGCTGGCATTTTAAGGGTTAAAAATATGAAAATGAATGGCTAGTTTGTAATTCTAACCAGGACTGATGTAGCTCAAAAAAGATAAGTCATTGTAAGTGATAAATAATATTAAAATATAATGCTTCTGGCATTTTTTTTGATGGGGACATTTTTGACACTTAAGGGTTAAAAATAAAATGGTGGAGATGAAGAGGAAAGTATATCAGAACAAAAGGAGTGGAAAGGTAAAGAACTGAACTGAAGAATAAAAAGGGTGGAGCCATAAATAACACAAGACTAATAAGGGAGGAGAGTTAAAGAACAGTAGAACAGTGGAAAGAAAAAGAAAATAAGAACAACAAGGGTGGAGATGTAATGAACATAGGGAAAACAAGAGTAGGGAAAAAGCGAAAAATAAAATTAGAAAAAAAAAGGTGACGATGGAAAGGAAAGTATATGAGAACAAAAGGGGTGGACAGATAAAGAACACAAGAATATACAGGGTGGAGAGGTAAACAACGTGAGAATAACATGGGAGGAGAAGTAAAGAACAGGAATGAAATAGGTGGAGAGGTAAACATCATCAAAATAACAAGGGTGGAGATGTAAAGTACATAAAAGAATAAAAAAAAGGGCGGAGAGTTAAGGAAATAAGAATAGCAAGGGTGGGAAGGGAAAGAGCATAACAATATAAAAGGCAAAGAGGTAGAGTAGGGATCCAGACTAACTTGTTCACTGGTAGCACCGGTGTGACTTTTTAAAATTTAGTCGCACCTCCCACTTTGTCACAGGCAAAACATGTGACTTGCTGAATATTTGCTTATCAATAGACATGACAATTTAGCGATGTTCCCTAAACGTCCCACATTGTCAGGCTGCGGTAGTTGCTGTTGGGTGGCTGTGGTGTGCTCAGACAGGTTCTGGCTCTGTGAACTTGGACCCGAGTAAACTAGGATGTTCAAATGTCAGATTGGTCCAAGATGAAACCTATTAATTTTTTCTACATGCGCTCTTTCCTATGAGCAGAAAAAAAACAGTGCATGTAGGTGCACTCTACATTTCACGAGAAGACCACATTTGTAAGTGTAAATATCACAACAGATCCTGTGTGCGAAGCTAAAATCATTATTTTGATCAATGTTCATTTAATTTTGTGGCCCACTTCTGCATTAGCCATTGTAATTGGGAAAGAAAAGGAAAAGCAGAGGTAAATAACCTAACAATGATACAAATGGAGAAGTAAAGAACATTTTAAAAAGGGTGGAGAGACAAGGAACAAAAAATAAACGGTAGAAGAGTAATGAACATAAGAATAACAAGAGTGGAGAGGTAAAGAACACAAAAATAACAAGGAGGTTAGTAAAGTATTAAAAAATAAAGAGAGTGGAGAAGAAAAAAAAACAAAATAACAAGGGTGGAGAGGTAACGCAAGGAATAAAAGAATCACAAATCATGGATGGGTAAAGAACAATAAAAACATAGGTAGAGAGGTAATGTAAAGAGTAATTATTAAACAATAAAAAAGAGTGGATAAAAAAACTAGGAAAAATGAAAAAAAGGGTATATACAACTACAGAACAATTACAAGGATGGTGAAATCCCAAATCACAGTTTAAGTAAGGACAGACCACAGAGGGAAGATAACAGAGGGGAAGGCTTAAGGGTAAAGGAGGGACATGAAGGAAAAGAAGGTAAAATAGGAAAATGGCTCTTATCTGTTTTCCAGTGGAGCCACTCAAACAGCAGAAGAGCTGTGTTCCTTTCAGCCATCCTTTGACTTCTACTGGAGGCTCCTGAAAGGCAGAAATATGTGGTGCTTACATAAAAAATATATATCGATAATGACAGAGTCACATCACATCTGCTGTCAAAGTGAAGGTGAGGACAGGGCTAACATGTCTTTTTGGAGAAACTTTAAGCAACAGCTAAATTTTAGTGCTCATCTGTTCATGTGCCACTGTCAACCAAATGAAAAATTTTCAACATGGCCACATGTTGGATAAGCAACAGAAACAATACAAAATTAGTAAAGGAGAACACAAATAAAAAAAGACAAAAAGCATAGTGACAACCCTTATAAAAGTTTTGGATTGAAGTTGTAGTCTTCATATGCAAATTGGGTCATCCCATCTGAAATCAACTTTTCTTTTGTTTGTTTTTCTAAATTACAGAATTAAAAAAAAAATATATATAAGTATGTACGTCTGCAATCACATCATAGCTGTTACTTGTGTTGCTGTTACTAGTGCCTAAATCTGACTAAATTACAGAGTAGTTTTTATGCACCACTTATTCAATCCAATTCAATTCAATTCAAATATCTTTATTTATCCCCTAGGGGCAATTAAAAAAAAAAAAAAAAACACAAACAAACAGGAAAAAAAGCAATAAACCACATCATAAATATCACAGTATATTTCATGGGATGAATTTTGGAGAGTCAGGGGACATGATATACATGTACGGGATGTAAACACAAATTTAAAAGTACTTGTACTCCATGTTTTCTTTTCATGGCACTTTTCACTGACATTGAAGAATATTTTAAAATGTGAAACATTAACTGAACGAATGTATAAATATAGTGTCTAAAAAAAAAAAAAAACACTTCTTTCATTTGTTCAAACTCAAGACAAAATATCAAGAAATAAAACAACAAACAAGTTGGGTTGTTTCAACCAACTTACCCCTCATTTCAAAATCTTACCTTCTTCTGTATCTGCTCTCCGTGTCCGCTGATGAGGACAGGTGATTGTTCAGTGGTTGGTTGTAAATTTCCACCAAAGATGAGTGTTTTTCAGCTCAGCCTCTGAGTTAAAGTGCAATCTGTGAAGTGGCTGCAGCTTAATAAAAGTACCTGTCAGTTCTCAAATGATCACATTCCAATCTCCACACACACTAATTTTTTTTAGGTAATATTGTGCCACATTTAAGCCATTACAGTTGACATCCCAGTATAGTATGTAAAAGTTCAAAAACACATTACTACCTTGCAGTTAAATAACTAGCAGTTATTTCATTCCAACATAAAATAAAGCAGCAAATTATGCTTTTCAAACACTAAGACATTTAATGTTGGTCACCTGCACTGCTGATTTTAGTATAATACAAAGCATGTTACGTACAATATGCATTGAATGCCTACTGTTGTCAGAAGGCAAATGATCCTTGCAACAACAGCTGTATCAGTCAAGAGTAAATACAGTGATTTACCTGGCTGTAAACATACTGCAACGATCTGGACAAGGGCTTTCCTCAGGACAACTTGAACAGGAAGCATCGTTGTCAGGCATCCACACAAAGCCACCTGTCTCTTAAAGTCTCTGTTGGTCTGGAAATACTGAGCTGGGTCATCTTCGTGCTCCTACAGTGTTTATAGCGGGACATTGGAAGTCCCTTCAATTAAAAAAGGTAGAAAACTCAGCCATGTCCTCCTGTAGCCGTTCACCTGCCTAGCGAAATTCCATCTTCTCTAATACTGCTCGCTTTAAAACAATGCCCAAGTATTCCCAGTTTTCCTGTTTCCTTACTTTCTGTGACAAGTAGCTTCACAAACCGTTCAAGCTGGACCGGTCCCGTTGTATTGAAGGCCAGCACAGAAAGTTAAACAGACTGTTAGCATGTCTGCATTCAGCGAGCTAGGCATTTCTGGTTTACCAGCTCGTGCTTCTCCTTTTCGATAATCTGCTTTTGGATAGTGAGGTCAGGTTGATCTGTGTCGAGTTATTTCACCTATCCACCAATGTTCTTCGCTAAAACCAATACTGTAGTCAGGGTTGGGTCTTTCCGTCTGCTCGCCATTGTGAGACAGGAAAAATGGCGACCGGAGAGTTTCGTTCTGACCTCAGCAGTTGCTCTGGTGGGGCGATAAAATAAATGTCCTTCTCGTGTTAGATTCAAGGACGCTGATTGGTTAGATTAGACGTCACATCATATCTTGAATCAGTAATTGGCTAAATACATACAAAGACCCGCCTACTGTGGGTGATTTCGCCGTCATCCAGAGCTGAACTTGAGACAAGACAGAGGGAACCTGTTAGAAAAGTACATATTTTTTGTAAGCAGGATTTTCTACAAATATTACTGGGTAAAGCTATATTTCAAATGCCCACGTATTTTCAGTTTGAATGAAATATATTCTTGTTAATGTTTTTAAGGAGGGCAGCATTGGTATTAATGAAGGAAGGCTGGAGCTTAGTGCTAACCTTGAGTCCAAAGCACAGAAAACCAATACCCAGGACAAGAAACTCATTATAATCACTGATGAGGATCTAAATGTCAACAGCCACCACAAACCTGTCACTAAAACCTCATTCTGGCATGTTAAAAACTGTGTCCAGGCAAGACTGGTACTTTGATTTGCCTAAACTTTAGCCATTTTTATTTTAGATTAAAACATTTTTTTCCCCCACAGCTTTTAATTAATATTTTATTGATAAAGTCTGGTGTAAACTACATGTACTTTTATTTGGCCATTTTATTCACTTAATTCATTTTTTTTGTGCTGTTTTGATCTATCAGTTTGAATTATTCTATAAAATATGTACAAACTTTGTTCAACTTGTCTGTTTAGTTGTCTATTTTTACCCTGCTGTAGGTTTTTAATTTTTAACATTTGCCTGTAAAGCACTTTGAATAACCTCAGTGTAAGATAAGATGATAAATAAATATTACTTCTGTAGTTCATCGTTCTGTACTCACATAGCCAGTACTTGTTAACAGCATCACCTGTTAGTGAGTCTTAACCAAATTCAGTCAAAAGTAAATCTGGTTTTACATTATACATCAAATACTAAGGCAATATGTATATTTTATTGTTTAGTGACACTGCTACTTGTGTAAATGTGCTGTAGGCAATGCCATCAGGGATTTTGAAACTGCTGGGAACGTAAATTTTCTAAAGTAAGAATGTGGTGCTTTTGTTAATGAGTTGTATATAATTCATGTCATGCAAAATCACAACAGTCATGACATGCTAATGTAATAATTTATTGTCCAATCAAATATTCATTATTTGTTGTATGTTCGGTGTCCATTTTCCCTGTTGGTTACACTCCCCTAAAAAACACACACAACAGAAAAAAATCAGTGAGACTAGACTCTGGCTCTCTGACAGTAATGAGACATGCATTCGGAAAACTAAATACTAAATAATAAATTAGCAAAACTTACAAGAAGTCCTTTCATTCTGAAAAACTTGGCATAAGGCGACTCCTCAGCACAACCAAAAGCACTGAACGGTGCATCGATGTGTGGAAGCCCTTCAACTATCTGTTGAAGGAAAAAGAACATCACAATGAATATGTGGAAAACCAAAGAGGAGCACTCAAGGTTTAGAGAAAGTAAGAGGAGCTGTGAGAGAAATGCTTACGTTGCCCAGTGTGTCAGAAAAGCTGTCCAGTTCCCTCTTTCCTCCTGGACTCAGTCCATAGGACCAGTGCTGACAGCTGCCCTGCGGCAGCACTGTCCCCACCAGCAGCAGCCACAGTGCCAGGGTTCTTGCAGCCATTCTGAGGGAGGGAGAAAAAAAAATCTTCAAATTGCACACATAACATATTTGATGTATTTTTTCTTTAAGTTGACCCCAAACAGCAGTACTTTTTACCTTCTGTGCAGAAAACTTCTCAGATTTACTCTTGTCTGCTGTCCTCTGTGAATCCTGCTGCATGCTATTTTCTGAGGTTTATATAAGCCTATGCTGCTTCATTTCTTCCACCACTTCACTACAGGGGGCCACAAAGTGGGATTAAGCAACACTTGGCAACACTGGAAACCCGCAGAGCTGTTTAAAAGCTTACATCTGGTGTGTGACTTCCACAAAGTAACAATTTACAGTCTTCCACAAACTATCAGCCACTTTCAGCTATTTCCAGTCACATTATGTCTGTGATGCATTTTGAATGTACATTCATTCATAACCGAGACACAAAATGAAAAACAAAATAGATGACAAAGTCTTTTTCTTCTTCTTCATAGCAGTTTATTTATAACAGTCATTTATGGAAACATGTTTCCATGGTCGAGTGCAATAATCATAGACAGGGATAGCTACACCGCTCCCTGCCTCAAACACAAATCAACCTCTGCCCCATATTGCATTCAGTGAGATGTATTAAAATAAATAACCATAGCTCCTCCATTGATTTTCACACTCAATGTGAAATACACACTGTGATTGCCTTCATCGTTCATTCTCACAGGCTGGGTACCTACTATTTAACTGAGTGAATGCTATTGCATCGGAGCAGCTTTGAGCTACAGCCAGAGAAATTTCACCAGTCAAAGACAAGCATAGCTCTTCACACATGCAAACATACACTGTCTAATAGAAACTGAAGAGACATCCTTTACAGAACAGTTGACAACACTTGCCTACTCTAATAACAACATTTTTGGGAAGTTTTGGAAGCACTGGATTTGATTTACATAGGATTACAAGCACCAAACATTTTTGGTGAAAGGGTATACCATGTTACAAGTTAACATATACTTGTGCAAAAAGGTTCAAAGCATGATTAAGTGATATACATAGATACACAGAGCATGTTTTCTCTTTTTTCCAGGCAATCCCACTTTAACAACATCAACACATGAAAAATGGCTTTCTGGCTTGATTATCTCCTCATAATGAGAATCTGCAGAATAACAAATAACATACATAAACGTTACAATAAGCCATGCCACATTCAAATGCATGCAATTGTGGATCACTCACACACCGGATTAATAAAAGAGGTAGATTCACAAACAAGGGAAAGCTTAAGAAAGCAATATTTTAAAGTAGGAAAGGAGAAACCTCACAGCTCTAAATCACATATTGCATAACCAAGCTGTGTTTAAAACTAGCCTGTCGCATAGTTTTGTGGTGCACTAATAGCACTTCTAGCCTTTTAGACTGTGCTATCATATGGCTTTGGCTTGCATTGCTTTCTTTATAATATGTTATATCCAGCAAAATTAAGTTTTATACTTAAAGAGGAATATATATTGACACAGTTATAGGTAAGTAACCACTTCTGTTTCTGCTACAGCAGCATCCAGTGAAGCTCAGTGCTCTGAACTTCACTGCTCACAGGTAATCTGATTTTGAATCCTATTAACATGTCAAGTAACATGAAGTAAATATAAATTATGTGAAACATAAAACGAGTATGGATTGGATCCAAATACATCTACACACACTGGTAACATTACTTTGTTTTGGTGATATATGCAGCTGAACATTTAAAAACATCCTACCATACAAACATACATAAACAACCCTGGATAACTTCTAGTGCAAGATATTTAAAGCTAACATAATATTGGTGGAATGCCAGGGATGTGCATACAAATACCTGTACTGCATACAGGTAAAGAGAGATTGAAAGGAGAGGAATATACTGTATGAGAGGCTGGAGGAAAACAGCAAAAAAAGAAGCCAGTTGTGGCCCACACTGGATGTGCAGGTGTGTGTTGAGTTATCTGACACTCTGGGACATGTGCAGAGGGGTCAGCATCTCTTCAAAAATGGCTCCTTTCACATTGGAGCCTCTTAGGTTGGCTTCTTGTAGATCACAGCCAGAGAGATCACAGTTCTGCACAAGAGGATTAAACATGTTAGGTAAAAAAAACTCCCAATGTAACAGAACAACTGTAATGTGGTATGTGTAATAAGTAACAATCTTTATTACTGAATAACCCTCGGAACCCAAAAACCCACCAACAGGTTTGAAAGGCATGTGTTTTTTTTGTTTTTTGTTTTTAAAAAAAAAACCAATAAAATCACCAAAGTGACACCATTTATCAAAGCCAGCCACTGTAAAAACAGACCAGAACATCAGTGACTCAGCTGCAAACAACAGTCATGTGACAAAAACATCTTTTGGCTGTTCAGATGAGCTCCAGACTGTTTTGGCAAAGAGCAGTGTGACTGAGAGAAAAAGAAAACATACTTGAGCAATATAGTAAATACAGCATTGCTCAAAAACAGCATACATTGCAGCAAAATGTCATGTTTTTTGAAGATACACTCAGCATGATGAAATATCTTTCTGAAGTTTAAAATGCAGAGTAGTGTTAGAAAAAAGTTTGTACAGGTATTAAAAATGGTATGATTTCAATAATCTGTACATGTTGATTCCAGATTGTTTCTATTTTTGCTGAATTAATGATGATGAAAATTTAGTTTTTTCTTAACGCATAAATACTACCTAGTAAATATTGCACAGAAAGCATTTTGAGCTCTGTCTACTTCCAGCCATGGTTGTGCTGTTTCCGTAGAGGTGAGGGACTTTATATTGCCGAAAAAAGAAAAAAAAAACCCACAGTGAAAAAAGGTTAAAAAAGTTAATACAGTTATAAGTTTATGATTATTTGTTTAAATCTGTTAAGTATCGGAAAAATATCTGCAGTTTTACCAGATTTGTTGTTTTGTCTTAACAATAGTTGAGGACCCAAAGATATTAGGTTAACAGTCATAACAGACAGGATAAAACACAGCACATAGCAAGATTTTCTTAATTTCTCTTTAAAATCACAAGTTACTGTGAACTGCATTACCAACTAATCATTATAGCCTCAGTGCTGTCTTTGTTACATTTGATGTGTTGATCATCACACATGTTAAGTTTCAAAAAGTTAGTCTTCTGCTTTAAACACAAGAAATAGTCAACTCAAAAACATAAAATCCTTCAGTCCTACAAAGACTGAATTCATTGTACCCGCTGTATTAACTGCTTCTTTCTTTCTTTATTTGTGATAAAGTTCTACCTTGGTTTAGTATAAAATTTGAGGATCCTGCTGCTAAGCTATCAGTAATATGGCCACTTTAGCAAAAGATCAGGTGCGTACCAAATAACATAGTATATTAACAACGAATGTTATTTGGATTTGCAATGTTTTATTATTTTTGGCTTTGAAAAGTTGTCATAAACAAGTGAACCATCTGTGTCAACTTCAGCTATTGGTTTTGAAGATAATCCTTTCTGAAAGCCTTAACTTACCTCGAGATCCGTCCCTGCTAAAGTGGCTCCCCGCAGGTTGCAGTTCTTCAGCTTGGCGTTTTTGAGAGTGGCCACACGCAGGTTGATACCGGTCATTTGGCTTCCTTCCATGTCAACTCCTTTCAGATTAGCACCTGATAACAAAAATATTGAGTTAAAATGAGAACATAAATGTGGGACCATATGTGCTTTGATTACAAATGGTCATAGATTACCTTCCAGATTGGCCTTCAGTCCAGATGGATCTTCAAAATTGCATCCTTTGAGAGAGGCTCCCTCGGCATTCGAGCACAGCATCTTCACCCCTTGTAAGTTGGCACCCTTTTAACAACAAAAGCATTCACGATACACTTGGGTACATATTGAGCTACGTCCAACAAAAAATGTCTGCAAAGTTTCCAGTCTGTGGAAAACATAGTTTGCTTGTTGTTTTTAAATAAAGTGAATGTGAGAGGAGGTGTGTGCCATTGGCAAACCCGTTAAAGCACAGAATGGCCCTTCCTCCACATAACTGAGGGGGCAGCAGGTGTGAAGTGACCAAAAAAACATAAGCCAAGTCCATTGCTCATTAGCAGGAAAGCCAGCAATAAAACATAAAAAAGACAAAACTTTGAAGTAAGAAACATTTGCTTCCCCACATAGAGATTATTTTAAGTGTGTTCTGCACTTACCACGTGTCTGCTGATACTGTATATGCAAATAACACATTAATTGCCACCAAGAAGAGCTTTCACACTTACGTCCAGGTTGGCTCCAGAAAGATCAGCCCGCTCCAGATTGGAACAGCACAGGTTGGCGTGTGTCAAATTGCAGCGACTGAGGTTTGCCATCTTGAAATTGATATAGCGTAGGTCAAGTCGGGACAGATCGGCGCCACTGAAATTAAGTCCCTGAAACATTAAGAGTAATGGTGTCAAATATTAACTGAATATGGTTCCATGATGTGATAAATTAACACATTTTCACTTAGCCATACCTGACAGCGGAGCTCTGATTTGGTTGGTGTTGCCAAAAGAAAGCGAACAAACTCTTTGCGGGAAATGGGAGAGTGGTCCTCAGGGGGTTGTGAGTTCTGTTTTGAAGGCAATCACTCGGTGAGCCACAATGCATTCAAAGTGAGTGATTACATTATTCATGTAAACAATAATCTTCCATATTTCATGCTACCTTGATTGCTACTTCCAGCTGTTCAGCAAGCTGCTCAATTCCAAAGAATCGAGCCTCCTCAAGGACACCTAGAAGACATTTTGGGCAATGATATCAATACCTACTTATTTATTCAGGAAAGTGCTGTGGGAACTTTATTTTATAGCCCTCTTCATAGTGACTTAGGTAGATTTCATAATTTAGGCCTCCTCAAAAATCTTACCTCGTATATTCATGCCTTCATTCATAATGAGCTGACCATGTCTCAAGTAGTTGAGAATAGGCTCAAAGTATTCAGGGCTGCGGTCAATCAGGTACGCCCCATGCTCATCCTGCTTATTTCCCCACACATCTGAGGCAAACACAGAGGGTGAAAACCCATTAAAGATGTCTCACATATAACAAAAAAGAAACGCTCATTGATCGGCTGGTCATAGTACCTTTTTCCCGAAACATGTGAGCAAGCATGCTCTCTGGCTCTTTGCTGACCAGGGTGCTCCTGAACACAAAACACACACATTCAGCAAATACAAAACAGACAAAAATAACAGCATAGACGGTTGTCTGTAAATCTTTTGTAATGTGTTTACTGCTAGTGAAAACCATGTTTAAACCACAGGTACCTGGTGGTGGTGAAGAGACGCCCACCGATATTGAGAGTTAGCCAGTCTGTGTGCGCTCCGTGCGGATCAGATGCAACCTTGGCTTCATTCTGAGGATCTGTGTTTACAATGAAAGGAAACAAAAGAAAGTTGCTGAAACCATGTGGACACTTTTAATGGCAGCGGAAGAGACTCCTGCAGACGACAAGACAGCACTCACCAATAAATGGATCTCCTTCAGACACATACAGCACATCGTCATCTCTATTAGAAGTACAGATGGACAAATGAAATACACAATGAGGCGTCCATTATTGTTTAAACAACGTACAGACGGGTGATCAAGTAAAGGAAAAACCAACATAAAGTGTCTTAGTCAGGTGTTGGGTCACCATGTGGCACCAGAACAGCCAGTGTGCTTTGACATTAATTCTTTAAGTCTCTGGAGCTCTACTGGAAGTTAGACACTGTTCTTCCACAAGATATTACCTTGTTTGGTGTTGAACCACCAACAGTCTACAATTTCCCACAGGTGTTCAGTTGAGTTGAGATCTGGTGACTGTGACTGACATCAATTTCACACTCATTAAACGTTTGAGTGAGCCATTGTGCCCTATGGATGGGTGCACTGTCATCCATTATATTGATTTGCAGTGACTCCTTCCTCTGAGGGGACAAATGGACCCAAAACAAGGCAGCAAAATCCCCAACAAAACCACCACATGTCCTCACTGTGGGGGTGAAGGGTTCAGGTTTTATTTGTCACCTGTCTGAATCTGTTGTCGAGCTTACCTGATGAGAGCAATGTCATCTATGAGACCACCCTTTCCATTGTACAAACAGGAGGCTTTGATTCCTAACTTATTGCTGGCTACAGATAGTAAGTCGGACAAGGTCCCGTAAACTGCTACAACCTGAAAAGAAAAGACAAAAATGAATGAGTTCTGAGGCAAATTAAACAAAATGGGTCCCTTCCAGTCTTATACATGATTAATGAGTCGCAGTTGGCAGTGTAACCAGAGGATAAGCTACCAGTTTACGAGTGGGAAAAATGTCAGAAGGGCTAACATTAACCTCCACTACATTTGACCACATTATAACGCCAACTAGTTTCAGTGAGAGGTAGCATCAGTTATCCATCACCAAACACCTCCGTTCAGTGGAAAAAGCCAGTCATTCTGCGGCCCGAGCTGCCTTCACTGAGTTTTCACCCACCTTTCCATTTTTAGATGTCCCGTTAACAAATAAGGTGACTCTTCTCATTCTTTATGCGCTTTGGTTATAAGAATTTTGTTTTAATTTTAAAATTAACGTAGCTATTTGCCAACTAACTTCTTGGTCGCCGAAACAAATGAGGCTGGTTTAGCTAGCTGTATCAGACAACAACACGAGATGCATTCCAGTCTATCGGGAAAATATGGCATTATGAGAGCGGACAATGTGAGTCAGAGCAGCGGCTGAGAACATAACTGCTTTGTACGTTTTCGTAATATCTAGATAAAAACAGTATGATCAGCTGTATCATTGAAATAGCGCACATTCTCTAATTACTATGCCACCATAGCACAAAGTTATGTGTTGCTGTTTATTTGACTTAACAAATGCTGGAAGACAATCCGAACAAATCAGCGAGAACCTGAAGGCATCATTTTCCTTGCTGCGCTGTAATTGGTCAGGGGGTTCTTGCGTCAGCGCGTTTCATACGTCTGGGGGTCTGGTGTCAACGTTTAGCCATCCTCAAGTTTTTCGGGGTTTTTTTGGACAACAATCGCTGTTTGCGTTTTTTGAACTCAAATATGAATTCTAAAATAACATTTCTATTTGCCGTGTCTTGAATGAAACATTCATTGGGTCGTTTAGTAATTATTTGGGCTTGTTTGTGTGGGAGCTAGTCCTGTTGTTGTTGGTGGTGAAGCAGCACAAAGTTGTCGAGCACGAGTGTCATTTAACACCATGTCTGCCAGGCAGCATTGCTCGTGTTGCTCCCATCCAGTCTCCTCTCCCAGTGTTTGCCAGACGCTGAATGAAATGGACTTTGAACGAGGTTTGCATTCATGTGTCAGTCATGTGGTAGCGAGAATAGGGGTAATGCTAAATGTCAGAATTGTCTCTCATTGAAAGTGTTGACATCTTCCAAAGTGTGTGTGTGTGTTTTGTTTTGTTTTTTTACTCCTGCTTTGATGGATCTGTCAGTGCTGTGTTCTGTGTCATCCCTGTTTGCAGGTATCTGGTCTGCTGCTATGGATGGGGACTTGGAGAGGGTGAAGTCTTTGGTCCAGAAGGGGACAGACCCTAACCTGAGAGACTCCGCTGGATACACAGCTCTGGTGAGTCTGCTGTGTGGACATGGGATGAACAATTAATAGATTTCAAATATAAATCGCACTTTCAAACAACGCAGTTAGCAAATCGCAGACTGGCATTTACAAAATATATTTACAGCGCATCTGTCTTAGTGTTTAAACTGACGTGTAGGTGGTTTTACACATACATACTGTGTATTAATGATGTGTCATGTGGTAATGCTCCATCTCATGTTTCAAATATATTACAGTTGAAACCAGAAGTTTACATACACTGTCTAAAAAGACATAAAACCTTTCTGTTTTCTCACTGACATTAAATCAGACTAAACTTTTCCTGTTTTAGGTCTGCTAGGATTACCAAAATTTTGTTCTATTTGCTAAATGCCTGAAAATTGAGAGAGACAATCTTTTTTTTTACTACTTTCTTCAAAGTCAGAAGTTTACACACACTAAGATTACTATGCCTTCAAACTAGTTGGGAAAGCCCAGATGATGATGTCATTGCTTTGGAAGCTGTTGATAGGTTAATTTACAACATTTGAATTAATTGGAGGCACACCTGTGGATGTATTTTAAGGCACACCTCAAACACACTGCTTCCTTTTGTGACAACATGAAAAAACCTAAAGAAATCAGCCAAGATATCAGGAAGAGAATTGTGGACCTCCACAAGTCTGGTTCATCCTTGGGTACGATTTCCAGATGCCTGAAGGTTCCATGTTTATCTGTTCAAACAATTATACACAAGTATAAACACCATGGAAATGTCCAGCCATCATACTGCTCAGGAAGGAGACTGGTTCTGTGTCCCAGAGATGAAGTGTTTTGGTGCGAAATGTGCGTATCAACCCCGGAACAAAAGCAAAAGACCTTGTGAAGATGCTGCTGAAGCTGGTAAGAGAGTGTCATTATCCACTATGAAACGAGTCCTGTACCAACATGGGCTGAAAGTCTACTCAGAAAGGAAGAAGCCATTACTCCAAAGCAATGTAAAAAAAAAAAAAGCCAGATTACAGTTTACAAATGCACACAGGCACACAGACATCTATCTATCCCAGCTGACTTAGGGTGAAGACAGGGGACACCCTGGACAGGTCACCAGTCCATTGCAGGGCTACACTTAGAGACAGACAACCAAGTACACTCACACTCACACCTACGGACAATTGAGAATCACCAATTAACCTCAACATGTTTTTGGACTGTGTGGGAGGAAGCCGGAGAACCCAGAGAGAACCCACGCTGCACGGGGAGAACATGCAAACTCCACACAGAAAGATTCCGGTGCCCCCACTGGGACGCNGTGGTTTTACACATACATACTGTGTATTAATGATGTGTCATGTGGTAATGCTCCATCTCATGTTTCAAATATATTACAGTTGAAACCAGAAGTTTGCATACACTGTCTAAAAAGACATAAAACCTTTTTGTTTTCTCACTGACATTAAATCAGACTCAACTTTTCCTGGTTTAGGTCTGTTAGGATTACCAAATTGTTTTCTATTTGCTAAATGCCTGAATATTGAGAGAGAGATTTTTTTTTTTTACTACTTTCTTCAAAGTCAGAAGTTTACACACACTAAGATTACTATGCCTTCAAACTAGTTGGGAAAGCCCAAATGATGATGTCATTGCTTTGGAAGCTGTTGATAGGTTAATTAACAACATTTGAATTAATTGGAGGCACACCTGTGGATGTATTTTAAGGCACACCTCAAACACTCTGCTTCCTTTTGTGACAACATGAAAAAATCTAAAGAAATCAGCCAAGATATCAGGAAGAGAATTGTGGACCTCCACAAGTCCGGTTCATCCTTGGGTACAATTTCCAGATGCCTGAAGGTTCCACGTTTATCTGTTCAAACAATTATACACAAGTATAAACACCATGGGAATGCCCAGCTGTCATACCGCTCAGGAAGGAGACGGGTTCTGTGTCCCAGAGATGAAGGTGTTTTGGTGTGAAATGTGCACATCAACCCCAGAACAAAAGCAAAAGCCCTTGTGAAGATGCTGCTGAAGCTGGTAAGAGAGTGTCATTATCCACTGTGAAACAAGTCCTTTACTAACATGGGCTGAAAGTCTACTCGGGGAGAAGAAGCCATTACTCCAAAAGCAACGTAAAAAGAAAACCACATTACAGTTTACAAATGCACACAGGCACACAGACATTAATTTCTGGAGACATGTCCTGTGGACTGATGAAACTAAAACTGAACTGTTTGACCATAATGACCATCGTTACATTTGGAGGAAAAAAGGGGGAAGCTTGCAAGCCTGAGAACACCGTCCCAACTGTGAAGTACAGGGGTGGCAGCATCATGTTGTGGGGGTGTTTTGCTGCAGGAGGGACTGGTGCACTTCACAAAATAGATGGCATAATGAGGACAAAACATTATGTGGAAATATTGAAGCAACATCTCAAGACATCAGCCAGGAAGTTAAAGCTTGGGCGCAAATGGGTCTTCCAAATGGACCCTAAGCATACCGCCAAATTAGTTAGGAAAACCCACAACATTTGACCCAAGTCATACAGTTTAAAGGCAATGCTACCGAATACTAAGAAAGTGTGTGTAAACTTCTGACTTTGAAGAAAGTTATACAAATGATCTCTCTCATTATTCTGCTGTTTAGCAAATAGAAATACTTTTGGTAATCCTAACTGACCTAAAAAAGGAAAAGTTTAGTTAAATGTAATATCAGACAGTGAAAAAAAAATGTTGTGTCTTTTTATATCATGTATGTAGACTGCTGGTTTCAACTGTACATGGTGAATATTGAACTGTAGTAAGTCTTTAAACAGTTATATCACAAAACAAATTCACAATTACATATTTTCCCCAATTCATTCAGCCCAAGTGTGGACTGTCCTTCCATCCATCCATTATCTATACACCGCTTAATCCTCATTAGGGTCGCGGGGGGGGGCTGGAGTCTATCCCATCTGACTTAGGGTGAAGACAGGGGACACCCTGGACAGGTCACCAGTCCATCACAGGACTACACTTAGAGACAGACAACCAAGCACACTCACACTCACACCTACGGACAATTGAGAATCACCAATTAACCTCAACATGTTTTTGGACTGTGTGGGAGGAAGCCGGAGAACCCAGAGAGAACCCACGCTGCACGGGGAGAACATGCAAACTCCACACAGAAAGATTCCGGTGCCCCCACCGGGACGCGAACCAGCAACCTTCTTGCTGCGAGGCAACAGTGCTAACCAACTGCGCCACCTTGCAGCCCTTGGACTGTCCTTGTGTATCTAAATTTAGCATTCACTTTTTTTTTTTGCAGCACTATGGCAGTCGCAGTGGTCATCTTGCTGTATGCAAGTTTCTTCTTGAGAACGGTGCCTGTGCATCTTCCCAGACACCAGGTGGTGCCACACCCCTCCATCGATCAGCTTACTGTGGTCATCTGGACGTAGTTAGGCTCCTTCTGCAGCACAGAGCCGATCCAGCGCTCTGTGACGATGATGGTGCCTCCCCTCTGCATAAGGTACACGATTGCCAGCAATAGCATAATAAAACCATTCTACAGAAACAGTTTGATGATGGTTTAACTGTTGCCTGTATTTGTTGCTCCATTAAATGCTTGAACAGGCTGCGGAACGGGGTCACGAAGAGGTGTGTCAGCTGCTTCTTGAGCAATGTCCAGCACTCTGTAGCAAGGTGAACAACAGGCTGCAGCTACCCTACCAGCTGGCACAGCAGGGAGACCTGCAGGAACTCTTAAGACCACCGCGGTGATGACAGACAATCTGCATCTGGGACATTCTGTGTTTCTATAATCACGAGAGTGATACCAGCTGAAAAAATGCTAGGTGATGTCTGTATGTCAGGATTACACTTGTCTTGACCTGGATTCACCTCATCTCTCTCCCAAATGAGCATGAAGAGTCACTGAATGAAACATGAAGTAAACATGGCAGTACATTTTCTTGCTTCATATGATTAACACCATCATGTTTTGAATTTCCAGTTTACTGCTTTTGGAATAATTACACCACCAAAGTTTCAGAAAAGTGTGGTTTATTTGACATTACTGTCAAATAACATCAGCATGCAACTCTTATTAGGTAACAAATCAGAAATAATAATTCCGATAAATTAGCCAATGATGGAACCTCTTCCCACATCTGCCTTTGTGTTACGGGAAGAGAAAGTTACATCTGAGGTACTGAGCTGGGCACTGAGAGCTGACAAGTGATAAACAAATGGACAGATGTGACTGATCAGCAGGAAGAACCATGTGAACGCTCCCACCTCATCATGTAATGTGACTGAATATTCAGGTATTGATATTTTGAAGGTGCATTAGGCTTTAATGGGAATTTGTTGATAATTTCTCTGTGGAAAAATGACTTTGATACAAGAGCAGAGCGTGCCTATGATTTAACTACTGACAGACAGACAGGGACAGCATTTGAACATTTGACAGTTGAAAAGGCTGACGCTTCTCTGAAATGGCTGCACTCAAAGGTATTATGTGTAGAACTTGGAATAAGCTGACATTAAAAGAGCAGAAAGCAGAATAATAATGCCATCAGAATACCTTGAAAGACACAGTTATGACACATAAATTGTACACAAATTGCAACATTTTGAGTCAGAAAGCCCCTAGACATCTTAGATGCTCTATTTAAGTGGTGCAGGGTGATGGGTTGGAGGCGCATACTAAAATTATGCACTGCTATGCAGCATAAATGGTTGTTTTCTTTAAACATGTGACATGTTTGATATAGCAGTTTGTAATAAAACTGGAGGCCAACATCTTACTAGTGATGGGTTATTTGTTAAACTTAGTCAAATCTGCATCAATTAACCACAACATTAAAACCACTGATGGATGAAGTGAATATTATTGATCATCTTGTTATAATGCAGTGTTCCACTGGGAAAGCTTTGGTCGTGACGTTCATGTGGATGTCATTTTGACACGTACCGCTCTGCTAAACTCTGCTCCAGTCCAATACACACACCACATGGTAACAGCACTCCCCAATGCCTGCAAAAGTGTGCCTCACTAAAACTGCTCAGAAATGAGTTGAGGAATGCAACAAAGAGCCCCAGATGCTCACCTGACTTCCAAACTCCCCAGATTCCACTCTGATAAAGCAGCAGTACAATGCATCAGAACAAGTCCAAATCAATCCACAAACCAGTGGACTGAAAGCATCCCAGTGATACAACATGATCCCTGCAGACGTCCTGTGTCCATGCCCTGTTCATTCACAGCCATTTAAGCAGCATTAAGGGGATCTGTACGATATTAGACAGGTAGTTTTAATATTGTGGCACATAAATGTATGTGAACTGGTCCTTTAAACCTCTGACAGTAGGGGGAGCTATTGTCCTAAAAGAAACCTGCATTCTTTTCCAGTACACCATGTGAATTAGATGGCAGCCAACACACAGTGACCTCATTCGATCCTCCCAGCATGCTGTTGGAAAACTAAACAGCGTAACTGTTAGAAAGAGAGACAAGCATCAGTGTAACTGTTCCAGCTGATAGTTGCTGATAGACATCATGGAGGGACTCCAGTCTCCCGCCAGTTTATGTTTATTCAGCCATACTGGGATATTCACTGTGCTTTCATGGAGCTATCAATCAGTGAAACACTGCAAGAGACTCTGATGATGATAATATTTAACACATTGATCTCCTTAGACTTGTTTTTGAATTTGACCTTGTTTTCAGGAAGACACATTTTGCTTGTGACCTAGTGCTGGCAGCATGTCTCCTCTGCTTCTGCTGCACCAGTACTATGTCTGTGAGTGTTTTAGCAAATATGTGGGACCTACTGTTTCTGGTGAAAAGCATTTACACTCTTCTACACTGAGAGCAGATGTTGATGGTTGATAATCTTAGTATTTTCTTGTGAAGTAATTCAAACCACACGCGTCCAGCAAGCTGGAAACTCTTAGCTTCACTGTCACATTGTTTTTATAGGCCTTTTTAAAGAATGCTGTTGTCTCTGAATATTTTTTAAAACTTTTTTTTAAAGCAGTAGCAGCTATTACCTTTGCTCTTGTCACCCTCGCTGCGGAGACTCACCCATTCTTAAGTTATTAAAGTCAAGGCACAATAGTGAGTGCTTGTTTAAACAGTGTTTATATGCAAAGGGAACAAAGAATGGATGCCTAGAGGTGAGTAATGTATGTTGATATTTCCTTATCTAGTGAAACAGATGGAAATACTTTAACTATTGTCTCACATACTTACTCAAAGCATGTTCAATAAGTAACACATGCACATACAAGAGGCAGATACCCCTTTTCCTCTCAGCCTTGCACAGATGTGAGAGCATTACTGCACTTCTTCTATGTTCCTGCAGTCCGCACAAAACCCGCGACAGAAACCTCTCACTGCAGTCTGAGGAACTTTCATTGGGTCCGCTGGTGGGTGGTGTTTCCAAACTACCTTCAAACCACATCCATGCCGTGACTGGAAGGGTGCCAGGCCACATCTGGAGCTCATTGCAGCTGACGCCACACAGCACAAGGAGATGGGGTGTTGGGGGGTAGATGGGGGTGGGGATGGGGGGTATTTTAGCTCAGAGAACTAAGCCAAGAGAGCTGTTTATGCTCAGTGACAAGTTCCTCCTTCCACACAGCTGAGGAGCTGTAGCTGGGATCGCCCTTTTTGATTGCCACATGTCAGTGATTGCAGGGGTTTGCTCAGCCTTTTTTGTCGCCATCTTCTAAATGGCATGAAGAAGAAAAGGCACATTATGCTATTTGAACTAGACCAGTAATTTTGGCTATCAGACCCGCCCACAGAAACCCTGTGATTGTTCCCTTGCCAGGTTCTATGTAACGGAATCAAAGTTGATGTCTTAGATTTGCTCGCAGTGAGTGAGGTAATGAAAACCCTCTGTGTCACTTGGTAAAACCGGAGGAATGTTGAAGGGCCTCACTCTTTTTTGATATTTTTTCATGAACTGGTTTGAATTTGAGGGCTGCTTGGCCCATTTATGTGGAAACAATCAGTTTGGCCGGTGCTTTGTGGAAATGAACAGCTTAGTCAGAAAAGACCTTTTTCTACACTTTTTTTTCCCCCTTTTACTCTCTGAAGCAACTGTGCAACCTAACCCACTTTTATTGTTACAAATGTTACAACAAGAGATGTGTAGAAGGACAAGATGTGATTTTTATGTCTGGCTTTTGAGGGCTTTCACGTAATGTGAGGACTTGGGATGGACTCCACAAGATGAGGAATTTGGACTACAGCTCTGTTTAGCGAGATTTATTTGGAAAGCAATGAAACTTCCTGGCCCTGGAACCCACTTCCACCATAATGAGCCCAAGTTAAACCAGGACTGGATGTTATTTTCCTCACAAATAGAAGGTGGTCTGTGTGCCATGCTTGCGTGGAGGATTTGAAGTCAGAGCTTGAGACTTTATTTTAAACAGCACTTTCGTCTGGGAGTGAATGATGAGAACAGTTTGTCCTTTGTGTATTTCTACAGATTGCGAATTAAAGCAGTAAAATTAGGAGTTTCTGTGGGTAGAAAAAGAAGGCGTAAAACAACAGAAAAATAGTGTATTTAATCATGCCATTTTCTCTGTTTTGATTCTATTTCCACCTCTGTTTTCACAGATAAAAGGCTCATCTGGTCCTTATCTTTTCCATGTCCACCTGCACTAAACTAATGCCATCCTCCGGCCTCCCAGCTGCCCTGGCTGAGCCGGGCCTGTCTGCTTTCCCGAAGTAATCAGGTAAATGGCTGGCAGATGGGCACACATTAAGAAGTGGAGGACCAGACTCTGGCATGGAGGAGCGCTCCACGCCGTCTGCATCGGGGAGGCAGGAGTGTGGGTGCTGGGTGCAGGGGGCGTGTGCAATCAAATATATGGGCGCTGCTCCTCAGAGATGCTGCATAATCCAATTTAGGTCCACTCCCACTTCAAAGACGCATGTTGTCTGCTGCTTGATGTGATGTTGCAGATCTTGCGCTCCCACTCTGCAGGTCAGCTGGTGATGAGATCCATGAGTCCAGAGGCTGCAGCTCAGCTCCTCCAGACAATCAGCGCTGTGACTTCATAGGAAATGTTGGGCCTGTCAGGTGATCCAGCCAAACACAAATAGGACCATGTGATACACACTTAGTAGGCTTTATATTTTTATCTGCAAGGCAGTTTTTAGATATGGTAGTCTTGGACTAAGTGCAACTCACACATCTGTTCAATGTCAACATGTCCCAAAGAGCAATCATAATCACGAAAAAGTTTCTACATGTAATTATGCTCAGTGAACATGCTGTGACTGTTATTGTGGCTAGATTTGAGGGGAAAGGTTTATTTTCCCAGAAGGTTTTATTCAGACTCCGGAATGGATGGTTAAGTTTCATTTTATTGATTATGGAGATGTAATCTCCTCAAAAGCATGGCCAAAGAAACAACCCATAAGCTGTTCCATATGAGTCAGAGGACAATTAATGAAGCTTTTGCGATCATATATCTTGGTCCCATCAAAGCAGACGGTTGTTTGAAATCATACTGTAATATTTCTTCTGCCAAATCTGCAAAACTACTGTGTATATATACGCTCCTTGCTCAGTGCATTTGAACACTTACAGTCTGTTGCTCATGTGCACAAGTTGGTTTGTTGTCTGCAAAGTGGAATTTTAATTTGGAGGCCTATTTTTCATGTGTTCTGTCTACTGGTGTAGTTTATGCTGATGGCCTGGGAATTTATCATTTTACTCACAGACTGTTGTTCATTAAATTCACAAGTTTAAGACAATATATTTCTCAGCACAGGAACAGAGTTTTGGTGGGAAATGGGGATACGTCTCCCCACTAAAAACATGAAAGATGCAGAAAACCTTTATTTTGAAAAAACACTAGAACAATAGTAATAGACACAACAATTGCTCTGATAAGGGCAATTATTTATTTATTTATTTTTTCTTCAGAGCTGGGTCTTTTTTTTATTGCGATAAATATTAATATAAATTACATATCCTCCATAAAACGACACAAAAAGGCACATAAGTAAACCCGAATGCAGGAAATCAAGCGTTTGAAGCTCACAGACCTCCAGCTTAATGCGTGTCAGTATTCAAATGAAACCTACGTCCATGTTTCTTAGGTCTGCATTCAATAACAGCACGAGGTCAATATTGCATGAGGATTTCTAATGATCTTTAGGATGCATAAACCAGATCAGTCAACCAGTGTCATTCTTTCAGTTGCTGTATTTTTCATGTTTAAATATACTAATGTGGGTTTGTGCTCCATTAACTACGCCATTACTGGCTTTCCAACATATTTTTATGTCATTAGATTTTACTGTTTTTCCACTGTTAAAACAAACAAAGAAAAACTCATAATTGTTCTCATTATTCTGCACGTCACGTAAGACCGAACAACAATTTTAATGTAGATTTCATCCTAATTTGGCTCTTTTTTCACCATACAATTACATGCAATCAGTGTCCTGATGCTGACTATTAACCCTTTAACTCAGGCCTTTTTTTTTCTCTTTTTTTAAAAACAAAAACATCCCTAAATCCATTAAGTGACAGCTGCAACACTAAGAGGCCAAAACAAGAAACTTTGGACCCTATCAATGAGAGACACTTGGGACAGTTTTGGAATTTGTTCTTGTCACCAGTTCAGAGTGAGATTTGAAAAACACCAGAAAAGATTTATATTGCTGTCCAAACAAAAACTGTATGAATTACAGAGAACATTCTTTTAACGATGAGTCCGTAACACTGATGTTATTAAACCTCTTTAAAATACCTTCAACTGAAACTCTACCA